AAAAAAAAAAAAAAAGAAGAAGAGAAGTCGAATGTTTCGTGGCTTTTGTTACTTGAGTAAGTATGTTCTTAGGGGTGTCTCTTCACCTAATGCCCTAAAGCCAACTGGTTTGAGAGTTATTGACAAAAAGCTCGTTACATGGGTAACTTAGAAAGCCTAAGAAAACTCGACTTATGAAAAAAAAAATTGAGGGGAGAAAAAAAAAAGATAGTAATAAGTGCTAAGGTGTGAAGGTCTAAACTCGAAACTTCTTACTATGAATTTCCACACACACACTAAGTGCTCATGGGCGAAATCTTTTAACAAGTGGTGTGAAGAATAAGATGGAGTATTTTACTTTAAGTGAGCATATGATAACTTTTGAATATTTAAGGCTTTGCCTCTAATTGAACTTTAATTCCTAAATTTTCTTTGCATATATATCATATAGTTGCATTTTTGCATTAGGATTTTGTGGGTAGATCCGCTGCAAACCCTCACGAGACACAACTCATCTACTAGGGTGACTTAGGGGTTTAAAGGCTTGTTGCACATGTTAAGTGCAATTGTGATTCCTATGAAAGTGAGTTAGATTTTATTTTTGTTTCTTTTGTCTTTTTATTTTACTCGAGGACGAGTAAAACTTAAGTTTGGGGGAATTTGATGAGTTGAAATTGTATACATATTAATGTGGAATTGTTGCCTTGATATTATTGATATTTGGATGAGTTTTATGAGACTTTACATGATTTTCATTCTTTGTACAGAAAAAAATTTGAATGCATAAAATAAGAGTTTTTAGGATTTATTGAATATTTTCTAAAAGTTGAGGGACTGAATTGCAAGAAGAAGGGCGGCCATTTGGAACCTAAATGAATGAATCTTGAGTTTTGGGATCTAAGTGCTCATAGTACAAAATTTGGAGGATCAGATCTGCTATTTTACCATTGAAGAAATTGCAAAAGGATACCAAAAACCCGACACGGGTATAGTGTCGACACGTAACCGGGGTGTCGACACCATGCGTTAAACGTATAGAATCAGATTCTGTTTCCTATTTTGTGTCAACACATAATCCGAAGTGTCAGCACCACGCGATCAGCATCCAAAATTCAATTTCCTATTTCTGTTCCAAGTCCTACTTCTATTTCTATTAGAGTTTCTAAAATTCTCTAAATACCCATCCAAATTCAGAATTATGGGGAGTTTTGAGAGGCTAGTGGCAGCCCTCTTTTGGGCATTATTGGAGATCAAGATTGAGGTTCCATCAACAATAAAATATCAAGGAGTTCGATTTCCTCAAATTGAGTTTTGTTTTTCTTTGAGTTTTTATCTATTGTTTGATATTTGAATATTCATAATTTTGATTTCATATTTTATTATTTTTATTATGAACTGATTTATTCTACTAGGGTTACGATGTAGCCTAATCAATTCAATATGGATTTAGTGATTTT